TGTGTGAGTGTGCATGGGTGAGTGAATGGTGTGTGAGTGTGTGTGGGTGAGTGAATGGTGTGTGAGTGTGCCCTGCGATGGGTTGGCGCCCCATCCTGGGTTATTCCCTGTCTTGTGCCCATAGCCTCTGGGATAGACTCCGGACCCCCGCGACCCTGAATAGAATAAGCTTTTTCAGAAAATGGATGGATGGGTGGATTCAGTGGGCTTTACTGCGTCTTGGTATCTTCTGTTCTCTTTTAAAATACATGGGTGCATAAAAAATGAAACTACAAATCTTGTAGACTTGGGCGGCATTTAGCTAAGCTATGATTACGGCCGTGTCCATTCAAGCGACGCCTTAATTAAAAAGCTCACGCGAGCATAACAGCGCTGCTTCAAAAGACGCGGCAGCTGCTGAAATGTCCTGGATCTGTGGAACGTCAGCAGCTCCTCGATGCCTGTGGACCTACAGTGTCTGATTCAGAGCACGTTGTCAGTGTACTTAAACCAGCCTCTCATGAGATTAAGGATTAGTTTTTTATTCAGAGAAATATGTTACTCCATGTATTTACTTGATCCGTCATTTTTGCAGGCTTTTCTGAGCTGTTTATCTGAACTGTTTTTAGCAATATGTTTCCTATATAAAACCTAGAGATATCTTAGCAGTAATACTAGTTATGATAGCAAACAAAAAATAGTCAATCTGGTGCAACAACAAAAACTGTGAACACCAAAAATCTTAAATAATTAAGATTATTTAGTCAGATAAATACTTCAGAAAAAAACTAATGCAAACAGCATTACTGTTCATGTCAGCTAAGATTTAGTGAAAGCTGTAATAATGTGCTAGGCTTTCTAAAACTTTTTGGTTAACCAAGCCTGTGCAAAAAAATAACTCATTTATGTCATGCAGGTTAGGTTGGTCCAATACTTATTCATCTGAACCTAGATCAGTTACAGTACCTTCTAAACTCCTAATATGCTTGATTTGTTAAGAAGTCTTTTTGGTGGGAATTTATGGCTGTATATGTACTGAGCGACGTTTAATTGTAGAACATAGTCTAGTACGAGGCGCTTACTGTTGTTGGACTTCAGGTCCCGGTGGATGACAGGAACGATCGCCCCGCTATGGAGGTACAGCATCCCCCCGGCGATCTGCACAGCCCAGTTGACGAGGATGTGCGGAGGGATGCGGCGGCCGGCCAGCGCCCGGCTTAGGGGACCGCCAGCCGCGTACTCCATGATCAGGCACATGTTCGGCTCCTGCAAACAAACCCCCTTGAGGGTGATGATGTTTGGGTGCGTGAGCATGGCAAACAGCCGGGCCTCCCGCCGCACATTCTGGGATGTCACGCTGATGTCCTCGTCGGGGTCCTGGCGCGCCGCCTTCACCGCCACCAGATCCCCTCTCCATGTGCCGCGGTAGACCTTGCCGAACCCGCCCACTCCGATCACCTCTTCCAAGCTCAGCTCAGCAAAGTCCACCTCCTCGGGCTCAAAGTCCTTCGCGGCTGCCGGTCCCTGAAGTGTCCCGTTACAGCTCGGCTTGTAGGAAACGTAATTAGATGGGAAGATGCCCACTTTGTTGTTGACCTTGCCTGCCCACCAGCCCTCATCCCCGGATATCTCCGAGTCCAGTGACAGGACCTCCACCAGGTCGCCCTTGCGGAGCGTCAGCTCATCCTTCCCGGTCGCTTCATAGTCGAATAAAGCGGTCCATAAAGGATTGGTGAAATTACCCATCACGGGCTGTTCTACACCTTTCCAGCCAGAAAAAATGCTTTTCAGGGGCTCCATTAAACTGCTCGCTCCGTATTTGCTTTCTGTTGGATATTATGCGGAAAATACAGAACTTCCAAACACCTATTTCCCTTTCGCGTCTGCCTATTGATCTCATCGGGGACCTGTTCGGACATTAAATCGCACACTAAGATATAAGACAGAGATTTGAGTTAAGATCCATTAGGACTTTGGACCCCATATGCCAACCCTCTGTTTAGGTGACAGACGTCAGTCAAACGCGCACCTAGTCCGGTTAAATAAATCTGCGTAACTTTGTTGGCTGGGTTGCTTTCATTTTACTCTCTTACAAGTGTCTGTCTCACAGAAACGCGTATTTACACGCGTTTTAATCCAACTTTCCGAGCCATAATTCGAAATGAATAGTCCATTTGCGATTGCACTGTACAAAATAAACATTCACAATCAAATAATCTGCTACATAATCGATGTTACAACAGTAGGTGTTTCAGTCCGTTGTAAAGGATTATAAACGAAACCGTGATATAAATTGTAAAAACAACAAGATTTTAGTTTTTCCACCTTGGGCTTTGATTCTCCTGTTTATTGCCAGTCTTGTAACTAGTTATACAGCTTAGCAGGAAACTCAGAGAGGTGGAGAAGAATAGCAGGAAAGAGGCATTCAACTCGGAGCGAGGTTGCAAAAAGTTCGAGCTGGCAAATCCGCAGTTTAACGCCACAGATGAGTTAACGGTACCTGCGCAGACTTGGTACAGGCACTCCCAATATCCTCTGGCACATCCAAATCCACTATTTTGCATTTCTATCTCATGTTGACTTCGTTCCCACGAGCGGCACTGTCGTTTGCTCAGCAGTTTTTTTTATTATTTCAATTTAATTTTAAACAGGAAGAACTATACAAAGTTTCTCGGTCATTTTTTTTTTCTGAGGCAACCACAATAATAGCTCCTTTGATGCATCGCGCGTTACCGGCTTCTCCTCTACGGGGATAATGGCACGTCTTGCCAGTCCATGCAGATAGAGAAACAGCGCGCTAACAGCCTTATCTTCTGCCGCAGCGACTGCATTCCCTCCTTCGGCGCGTCCAGGCGCTCCACGTATCCGCTTACAGTCGAAAGGGTGGGGTTTCGTAACTTTTTTTCGACAGGAAAAGAATCAGATAACAACAATATCACGACTCTTTCTCGTATAGAACCAACAAAATCAATACAGTTCTCACTTTCTGACAAATATACTTTACAGATGAGTAAATACATAAACCCCAATATAGTTTGTCGGCGTATATATATACTTATATCTGGAAATAGTCTAGTGTCAAGGTCTCTGTAACAAGATGATTTTCTTATGCATCGAGATATTTACACAAATTATATTGTTATTATATAATAATAATAATATTTATTATTATTATTAGGCATGTTGCTGTTGTTGAAAATAAGTCACAGCTAGATTACATCTGTGTATACATGGCGCACCTGTCATCTAATACTTAGGTTAAGTTAACTTGTTAATATGAGTTGGTATAAAATTTTAAACACGCCTATATAGGTATTACATATGTGTCGTATGTAGGTATATAACTTTAAATTGTGAAATATGTTTTTCAATATTCATACTAAGCCTTGTCAATCAAGTCACAAAAAAAATGTGCCCAGCGTCCAATCCAATGGTTAAGAAATACACATTTCATTCACTCCGCGCATGCGCGAAAACGCCATGAGCGATGGTCACAAGCACCAATCGCATGAAGTAATTTCGTAGCGGTTAACTTTGGGGTCAGGGTCTCAGTTTGTTACGATGCAGCCAATCAGTTCCGTTAAATTCTTGACAGAGGTAAGCTTTGTCCAATCGGATTGCGATATCAGGTTTTCTTCCTGTAGAGGGGCATTTGCTACCTGTGTGAATGGGCGAGTTCGAAAGGAGGAGTTTGTGGGGTGAGAGAGAAACTGTATTTTTCCCCAGGAATTAAAACAAACATGTTTTTCTTAAGGAAAAAAAAGCCGAGTAGCATGTAGTTAAAGGGCAATGACGCTTCTATGCGTATTTCTTACGCCTCTCTCTTTACGAAGACCGAAACACATGCGCCGGTGCCCCTGTTTTTGGATGGAAAAGGCCGACGGAGAGCAGGATGACTGAGAGCTAGGCGCCGCTGGCGGTCCGAGGAGAAGCGGCGGAAAAAGCGGAGAAGGGGCCGTCGCCGAGCGCCAGACGCGGAAGGAGAGCCGCGCGGGCTCCGGTCGGCACGGGACGCGCCGCTGCGCTCCGGCCGTGCCGCCTAAGCTGAGGCGTTTCTGCCGGGGCCTAGCTGCCTGGTGGCTAAGCGACAGATAGTAGTCGGTGGTTTCCTTTGGTTTGATTTTGTTTTTATTTGGTAGCCGAAGCTCGGCTAGCCTTCGGTCGGTGCTTAGGCGTCCGTCCCACCGGCTCGTCGTCGTATCTAGCACCGTGCCAGGGCTTTCCCCACCGAAACGGCTAGTAGGACCATGTCGGAGTGTCGGCGAGCCGCCGGGAATTAGGTAGGGACTTTGGAGCTGCGTTTAGGGAGAAGAGAGCCGCATGTAGCTGCTTGAGTCCGGCTGCATGCACCGCTGGCCGAGCTGCCCGGCCGGATAGCTGAATACCCTTATCAGGGCGGCGGGGCTGCCGGCAACCCCCTGGTTTGTTATCGGATCCGTGGTTGCCCAAGGCTGACTGTTCGTATAGGACACATCCCCACGAGGGTCTGTGTTAAATGCAGCTAGCCAAAGCAACAAAAAAAAACAAGGGACCCCCCCCTCAAAAATCCGTATTTCTGTCTTGGTAGCACCAATAATAAGGGCATGTTGAGTTAAGATGACTGTGGCAGTAGAGATTATCAAAGATTTAGCTTGTAAATATGAGGAACCGAAATCCTCGTGTCCCCTAAAGGGTATCTATAATTAATCAGGTAAATATCGCCCAGCGTTAACTTTTGATACTTCATTGATAGTGGCTAACATATCTGGTTCAAAAACACAAGCAAAGGTTTACATTTTTTTCCATTAGATCTGTATTTTTGTGGCTGTTTCTCAGGGTTATAAAGTCGCAGACCCATTGATAGTTCATGTTCGTTTAACGTTCTTGTTTGTGCTTGATTTTAGTGCACGTTTGTATTCGGGTAAACAAAGCTTGACTAGTTAACTGGCGCAGTAAGTTAGAGGGCCAAAAGTTCTACTGGGTGTTATAATCTATCATTGCTGCTTACTGTCAGGACGTGCAATGGTATTGGGCTGATTGACATTTTAGTTATTCCAAGCAATAAATTAAAAAGCCATCATTGACACATTAATATTTATATAAAGATAAAGTGATTCTGGAAGGATCAGAGATCCTTCACTTTATCATTATTAAAGCCACAATATGATCTACAGCAGTTGTACCTTGATAGTTTGAAGGATAGGTATTTTTCTTTATTATTATTTATTGAGGTGTATTATCTTAAAGTGCTGGGAAATAGATGAAACCAAACATTTCTTTCCCCCTTTGCCGATGAATGTTTTTATTTTCTCATTGAGTCACCAGTGTGCCAAATTATTGCCCAGATAATAAGTGAGAAGCTTTGTGTTTCGAAGAATAGCCCAGTGAAATTGCCATACCTGCTGGAAAAGGGCGTGTGAATTTTCCCTGCGTGACAACTGCAGGAAACCCGTGGCGTGTTTTTCTTGAACGAGCCTGCCCCTGCCTCAAAAGCCCGCCAGTGGTTTTCATGGAGCACCAGGCACTGTCGGGCCACAGGAAGGGGTAACATTGACCAGCAGGAGGTGGCCTTTCGAGAGTGAGGTGTCTGGACCCTCGCTCGCTTTCTAGACGGAACGATGGGCTCTCAAGCTCTTCAGATACTGCGTCAGGGGGTGTGGGCCTCCCTCACGGGGGGCTGGTATGTGGACCCACATCAGAGTACATTCTCCAACTGCTTTCACCTCTACCTCTGGATCTTTCTCTTGACGTTCCCGTTCCTGCTCTACATGGTAAGTGTACCTCTGCACAGATCCGGGAAGTTCCTTTCTGTCTAATTTATGGCTTGCGATTCCTCCATTTTGCCATGGTTACATGGCCATCCAGTTTTGGGTGACATTGCGTGGTGTTTACTAGGCACCAGATTCATTTTTGTTAACGATCTTGTAAATGCTTCCACTTGCGTTTCACAAGTAAGGTGACCTCTCGTAGTTTGAATGGGCTTGGTGTAAATTAAATTTCAGGTGTCGTAATGCCAGATATTGAGATTCAGTGAATTTTTTGGTCTATCCACGTGCTTTGTTAGAAATAGTCTGTCATCGCAACTGACTATTTCATGTCTATGTCAGAAGTAAGCTGCTTTCACTAGAAGTCATTGAAGCAGAAAGCTATGAGCAATATCTCCCTGAGTGCGTAGCTTATTACCGAAAGGTATGATAGATTGTTTTCATATCTTTGTGTTTGGAAGGATGACCGAAATTCTGCTGGGATGATTTTCTTTCTATTTGAGCTTAATTTGGAATTCCACAGATGTTTTACTTATAGATGCCTGGAAATATATTGCACCATATTTATTCAATATGCTTTCTAGGATGTATCAAATGCACGTTATTTGTTGCATTCGTTTGTCTCATTACTTTATAAATAGAATTTCCCTCTGGGTTTGATGAAGTCCGTCTTAAACATATTTTCCTAAATGTCTGTGGGTTTTATGTAAGGAGACAATAGTGTTTAGATAGCTGTATGAATTCAAGAGAAGTGTTTGCAAATGCTTTAAACGTGTTTTGTCTGACAGTACAGTAAGTGTTTACCATTCTTGTTGGGCTTGTCCCAGCTTTACTCCAGTGTAACTAGTTGCCAAACCAAACAGGTGGTTTTCTCTGTTTAACTCGGGGGTGGCCAATCTTATCCGCACAGGGCCGGTGTGTATGCGGGTTTTTTGGATAACCTTTGGGTCAGCTGTTCAAACTCAGTTGTGAGGACTCTTTAGCCAATAAGTCGTCTCATCAGTAATCTAATTGGAGAGTTGCATTGAAAACCCGCATACACAGCGGCCCTTTGCAGATAAGATTGTCCTTCCCTGACTTGGGTGAAGGGTGTGACAGTAAATTTCTTATTATACAGCTCAATGCTTTGTCTGAATGGTTTGTTCTGTTTTTATTTTGACTATAAGGCATCTAATTGTCATGTAGTAAATAAAGCAATGCTCTTAAGTGCAGGGGTTTTATGAAAAGTTCAGACTGAAATAAGTGGTGTAGATCATGCTTATTAGCCGAGCATAGACTCAGAAATGCCTTTGGAGACAATGTTGAGGCGAACAAATCGAGGTGATCAGTACACGTCATCCATTCCTGTTCCTCCTTCTTAACCCACTCCATTCCATTCACATTACAGGCGCTGCCACCCAGTCTAGTTGTGGCCGGGGTCTATTGCCTGGTTGTGGCCGCCTTCTTCACGGCCATCAAGACAGTGAACTTCCGTCTCCACGCCATGTTCGACCTGGGGGAGATAGTAGAGAAGCGACAGGCCTCCCTGACAGCAGAGGGCGCCAGAGTGGACGAGGGAGACGAGGGCACTACAGCCCCCGAAAGGAACCAGCACAGGTACATGTCCTGGTGAGGGGAATGCTGGGAAAACAGATGACCTTTGTGCTGCTGTGATCTGTGCAAGAACCATACTGATACATTCTTATATGCTTACTGCTGTGCTAACATTGCAGAAGATTATTCTTTTTTTCCAAAACAAGACTCAGTCTTGTCTTGCTGCCCTAGCCTGTGGCCTACTAGCTCTTGGGATAACCTTAAGGCCAATCTAACTGCCGGCTGTTAATATGGCGGTGTCAGCAAAGTCTGTGTGGAGTACCACTTAAGTTGACGTCATTTTAACCTGTCTCCCTGTCAGGGACAGTGCGGCTGGAGTTGAGATGACAGTGTTCCGGAAGGTCAACTCGACCCCTCCTGTCCGGTGCAGCTCACAGCACTCTCTTTTTGGGTTAAACCAAGTTTCGGTCAGTCCTCTGCCGCTTCATTCCCCTACAAGTGTCCCTTGGGGTCTTTCAGTGCACCTGCTGACCCAACATGAGGCAGCCGTGGGCAGTGGTCTCATTCACGTCCACCTGAAGTTCAAAATCTGGTGCTTAAGAATTGCAGCTCTGCTTGGAAGTCTCCTGGCTGAGATCCCGATAGCCAGCGTGACTACAAAGAAGCACTAAAGCTTGTCTGTCTTGCAGAACCGTGAATTATGATACGAGTAAAGAATGAAATTGCTTGTAATTGCCTTGTAATCCGAAAGCTTATAGGGTTTTTTTTTTGTTGTATTTGCTCTGTGGGATGCTTGAGTAATCCCGTTGTTTTTGTTGCTTTTTAAGGAATTTCTGCCGCAGCTTGATGACACAGGAGGCTCCAAAGGTGAATATTAAAAACGGCTGTATTACATGTTATTGCGTTGACTTCGCGTCTAGTTTCCCGAGGGATCGAAAGTGAAACCAAGAGCTCCGTCTCGATCAAGAGTGTTTTTGTCGCGCCTTATAAAAGTTCCAGCGGAAAAGGGAAATCGTGGCAGGAAATGAAATCGTGCCATATGTGTAGCTGGAGCGTAGCTATAATTACTGCGTGCTCCTCTGAGACAATAGCCCACTGAGAAATGAGTGCGCGATCGCTCTCTCCCCAGACCTCAAGGAGCTGGTGCGAGAGCACGGCCATAGCGCCATTGTCACTGCGGCGCACAGAGACATGCTCCGGCATGGGTCCCAGGACACAGTCCGTAAGCATCGCCATGACGACGGATAACGGCCTGCCAGGAGGGCCTGGATTCACACGCTCACGCTCTTTGGCTTCTCCGCAGGCGCTGCCGGAGTGGTGCAGTCCTGCCTGGTCGCCACCCTGGGCAGCGAGTTCCCCGGCCTGATGGGCCCGAATGGGGCGGTGCCGGGCAGCTTCGCCGGTCCCATGTCCGGAGAATGTCCCTCCATCCCCCCATCACCCTCCAGCCAAGAGGAGGGAGAGGACAAGGAGCGGGAGGAGGATGAAGCGGAGCAGTCGGCGGATCGCATGTCCAAAAGGAGCCCTGAAGAGGAGGCGGCGGGAGGTTACTCGCCACTGGGGCCCTCGGCAGAGTCCGGGAGCCTGGGCGATGCCCCGCTCAGTCCCCTCCTGAAGAGCAGCCTGAGTGAGGAGCTGAGTGAGAACCTTCTGGGCCTGGGGCTCCACCCGGGCCCTTTCGCCCCCGACCGGGAGACCCTGAGCACAGTGAGCAGCTACCGCAGCGAGAAGACCGACTCCACGCAGCTGGAGAGCCCATCCCTGAGTCTGAGCCGGTCGGCGCCGCTGGGCGCTGCTTTGGCCATCGAGGGCCCCCTGCCGGGCTGTGGCGCCCTGGGGGGCATAGAGGGCCCGGCGCTGCACGGCGGCAGCGACACCGACGACCTCTCCGACAGCGAGCTGTTGCGCTCCCCTTCCAAAGAGCCCTCGCTGGGGCAGGGCCTGGACCGCACGCTGGTGGAAGGGGACGACCTGCCCTGCCTGCCCCAGGAGCTCACGCAGTCCGCGCCCCTGCAGGACTCCTCGCCCTCCAGCAGCGGGCGCTCTGACGCCTGCGACCTGGAGCGGGGAGTTTCCCTGCCCCCCCTGCCGCCGCCCCGGCAGGCTAGCTCGGTGCCAGCGGGCCTGGCTCTGGGACTGGGCTGCTCGGAGCCCGCCCTGCCCATAACTCCCCCTCCCTTCCTGCTGTCCACCCAAGTGCCCCTGCAGGTGCAGCAGGTGGTTCGCCCCAAAGACCTGAAGCAGTTACGGGCAGCCGGGGTGGGCGGCGGGGGCGGCGCGCTGCACCGGCCTGGCCGTCGGAAAGCGCCACGCAAGCGGGGTGGGGCGGGCAGTGGCAGCTTCGACTCTGGTTCCTACCGCCGGCAGCATGGGCGGGGGCAGCACAGGGACTACATCCCCGTGCGCAGCCGTCTGGGCCCCAAGGCGTACAGCGAGAGCCTGTTTGAGGACTCCACTGACGAGGACGACGACGGCAGCGAGGGCAGCGACCTGAGCGCCGGCTCCAGCCTGGGCTCGCAGCGCCGCTACAGCTCCGACGACGACTCCAGCTCCTCCACCTCCTGCTACTCGCCAGACTCCGCTGCCGTGGGCCTCCCAGCCCCGCCCACTCTTTGCACTCAGCTGTCCAGTCCTGGCGAAGGGGAGGTCTCTGATTCAATTGGCCCCTCCCACTCCCGGGCGGCCCAGAGGTCGGCCAGCACGGCGAGCGCGAAGACGCACGCCAGGGTGCTCAGCATGGATGGCGCAGGTGGGGGTCACTCCAGCTCCGGAGTCCTGCCCCCAGCCGCCCTGCCTCTGCCTCCGTCCATCCCCCCCGCCCAGCGTCCACTCACCCTTTCCAAGTCCGACCTGGAGGCACGCACAGTCCATCTGGACGGGTTCCCCGGGGCCCATCATCGCCTGGAAGCCATCGAAGGCTCCTGGGCCGGTAATCAGACGGGCTGGCGGGCGGCCGACCTGCTGGAGGAAGGAGCCATCGGAGGAGGTGAGTCAGCAGCCGCCTCTGTCTCCCGTGGTCACCTGTCATCGCTCGTGTGGGGACTTATCAAATTACCTCTGCTTACGGCTTTTCTAGCCCTTTCTGTGGAGAAAATGAAAGTGGCTTATGGAGACCAGAGAATCTCCCTTGACCTATTTGCCAAAACTGAGCTCCTTTTAGAGAGGGGATTTGATCAGACTGATGGGATATTCCTGGCCGGACACCCCCTCGCCTCACGGCCCGTGGTGGCCGGCCTTTCCGCAGACGCGTCCTTGGCTGTGACCTGACGCCTCTCCCCTGCTCACTCTCTCTCCACGCACTCCCATTATGCTGGCTTATTTTTTACGTGCCGCGTTCATTCTGATATGACGCCCTCCCCCAGCCCTGGCTCCCGAGGACGGCGGCAAGCGGGACTCCGTCAGCAGCATGAAGAGGGCGCAAGCCATCCGCAGGCGGCACAACGCGGGCAGCAACCCCACGCCCCCGCCCTCCGCCATGGGCTCCCCCCCGAGGTCAGCTACGTCCCTGTTGGCGGCTGTCCTGAGTGGCTCTCCGCTTACCGCACTCAGGCTGTCTCTGTCCGCACAGAGCTTCCGTTTGGCTCCTTCTCCCGCCTTTTTATTTACGGTGCCCAGCCCAAATCTGCTTACGTTCAAGACCTTTGTATAAATTGCCTGTTTACTTTGCATACTCCTTTTCCCAGCCTGTCATATACTTTACGGTAGTACAGTAGTTGTTACGAAAAACCTTACACGTGTTCAGTATGCTGCTCCACATGTACTGTACCTTACAATGTTTTTTCTCTAAACAATACAATATAAACCTATTAGAGCACTAAGATGGCCTAAGCACCTTTTTTTTGCCTCCTTCAGCCACTACTGAATCCTTTAGTAATGTAAAAACATCAGGCACGGGTCTAACTAAACTTTTTAAAAATACTTTTGAACCGTGATTTTGAATGATCAAAAGCCACATGCTGGCTGACTGGATGCTGTAATTCCGAATCTCCCCGTCAGTACAAGGCCTCTTATAGGGCACTGTTTTCCAATCCAGTCCTCAGGGACTCTGTCCCACCTGTCAATGCACCCATTCGAGGTATTCGGTGTTCAAGATGGGCAGGGAGAGAGCAGACATGTGGTCTGGGAGTCCTGGCGGATTGGATTGGGAAACGCTTACAGGGCATAGCATGTTTGTACTTGCAGGTGATGATCTACCTGTATGTCTTTCATGCCAAAATCTTTTATCTGTTAAACACATTTTATCGTCCCTTAGGCAGAGTTACCATTTTGCTGAATCTGTAAAAGGAGTTTTTAATAAAACTTTTTTTTATCAGAAGCTAATCTGAAGCCTTTTATGTACAAGTTGTGTTCTTTTATCTATTTGTAGTACTTCATAGTTATTTTTGAAGTTATTTTTCGGGTTATTTAATCCGTTTCACTGCTCCCGCCGTGAGCGTAGCTTAGTTTCCTGCATGACGGTAAGCCCCCATAACGAGCCGGCTGCCGCCGGCCCCCCCCCTTCCCAGCCTGCAGGACCTCCGGCGAGCTCGTACCTCCTCCCGCTCCCGGACACTCACCCTGCCCTCCGCGCTCCAGTTTGCCTCCTCCCTACTCCTGCCCCGCGGGGGCGTCCACGAGGCCTCCACCTTCGACGACACGTCCGAGGGGGCCGTGCACTACTTCTACGACGAGAGCGGTAAGGGCGGGGCCAGAGGGGTGCGTGGGGTAGGGGCGAACATGCAGGCCGCATGAACGATTCGATTTATCAGTATTGCGTGAATGCTGGTGTGCAGCTCTGCATCGAAATCTGGGGCCTTCCCAGTAGGTTGCTGGTTTGAATCCCTTGGCCCGTAATTTTATCGCTTTGCCATGTAGGAGTGAAGAGGTCTTACACTTTTGGCCCTGCTGGAGGCGGATATGAGGACCCAGTGCAGTAAGTTCTGCCAGACCATAGTTGCTGGGTGTTGGATATTGCATAGAAGAACCTGCACCTCACCATTCCCTTATTTTTTGTATTTGTCTATGTCTCAGGGAGCGAGACAGACAGTCCCAGTCCTCAAGCTTCACTTCCACAGATGTCCAGGAGGGGGCACCAGTGCTCTCCATGCTGCAGCCGCGACCTGTCGTCCTGCAAGGGATGCAGGTCCGCAGGGTGCCGTTGGAAATCCCAGAGGTGAGACAGAGCACCGATCTAACCCCAGAGTCCAGGTGACCTTTGACCCTATTGATTGTTATACCGGAGGTTCTGCTTCTCTACAGTTTGACCTGGACCACGAGTCGCTGCACGAGTCTCAGGAGAACACGCTCATGATCGAGGAGAAGGCCAAGCCCAAACAGTACTACCGCTTCTGGGTGCTGCCGGGGAAGTGGCTGCGGGTTCGCTATGACCGCCTGGCCCTCCTCGCGCTATTGGACAGGTAGGGCAGATGGGAGCTGGCCAAAATACGCTGCGAGCCAATAGGGTGACTGTTTACCACAGGGTTAAAGGGACAGTAATGTGATCAGCGAAACGTGGTTGGTCGGTTTCAATTTTTTCTAAACTTGTGTTGGGGTTTGAGGTGGTTATTTTTTGGTCGTCTAGTAATAAAATCAAGATTGCTTCTTGGGAGTTTGCAGCTGAAATATCTTTATTGTAACAATATGTCAAACATGACAGCTTGAATGGCCCCCACTACCCAAGCAGACTTATCACAAATGCGGAGGTCAAGCCTGGGCCAGCCAAGTTAAGCCTATGTGCCCGTCCGTGCCCGGAAGGTTGCTGGTTTAAATCCCACGAGCGGTGCAGTGAGGCATGCTGGACGTTGGCTGAAGATGCTCTCTGACCCCTTTTAGCTCTTGTTTATACTGTGTATCGGGTGGAGAGCGAGATTTACAGATACAGCTGTTGTATCCTTGGGTTCTTATCAGCCCTACTGCACTGAGTAGGACACTCGTGTCTAATAATTATGTCTGAACTCGGATCGATGGTCCGCCGCAGGTGTGGCACAGCACCAGACCTTCATCAGTGTGACCTGTGGCTCGACCCTGAGCTCCTCCTCTAATCGGCATTACTGGCCCCCAGCCAGTCGGTGTTAATTCTGGGAGAGGCGTGGCACAGACGGGCGTCTGCAGCTCCTTCCAGACGCGTGCTTTCGGAGATCAGAGCTTGCCGCCGTCGTATCGCCCTTCTGTTAACGCCCCCCCACCCCCGTGTCTCCCCGCAGGAACCGCCGGGTGGCGGAGAACGTCTTCGCCGTGGTGCTGGCCAGCCTGGTTGCCTTCCTGGGTTTCCTCCTGCTTCTGCAGGGCTTTTTCAGGGACATCTGGGTCTTCCAGTTCTGCTTGGTCATCGCCAGCTGCCAGTACTCCTTGCTGAAGGTGGGTACCTCCGCCTCGCCGTTGGCCGTCCGCGGTAGCAGAACCTTCCAGTCGACACGTTTTCAGATGACAGGCGGTTCAAGTGAAGTCAGGTGGGCTTTTTGCCGTGTCGTACGGAGATGTACAGCAGCACGGAATAACGTTCCCCCAGGACTGCGGTGCGCCACACTAACAGGAAGTGAAGCGCAAAGCTCAGGACAGTGTGAATCAGGGGGCTGGACACCGGGAGCTGTATGCATAGTGTATGTAAGCAAGAAGTAATACAGCAGCGTGACGGCGTGGAATAGATATAGTGATAGATGGTAATCGTTTTAAGTCACCAGAGCCAGTATGGGCTGGGCTCCAGGCCCATTGTGACCTCGCACTGGAGGGGTAGTCTGATTTTCCAGTGCTTACACGCACTGCTCAGCCGTGTTGTTCTTTCGCAGTGAGCAGCAGCTCATCTGTGATGTATCTGAGTGCTGAGGGAAGTTTCTGGGCTCCTCAGAGGTGCCTCTCAGCTTCAGCCTCTTGTTCTATCCCCTCCCCAGAGTGTGCAGCCCGACGCAGCCTCGCCGATGCATGTGAGTGCCCGACCCGGCCCCCTTCCCTGACAAGCCGGTACGTTCCTTCTGGGACCCCGGCCCCCCGCCCCGTCTGACCGCCTCTGTTTCTGTCAGGGCCATAACTGGATCATCGTGTACAGCCGGCCGGTGTATTTCTGCTTCTGCTGCATCCTCATCTGGCTCTTCGACCTGGGGGGCAACTCCGGCCCCCTGCAGTCCTTCACCCTCTACGGCGTCACCTTCTTCTCGGGCCCCTTCCTGCTCTGTGCCCGGGACGTGCTCATAGGTCAGTCCAGAAGGCCCCGCCCGCCCCCCATTTGACAGCCCTGAGCCATTCTCGCAGAGTTCCCCATTTCCGGTCTTCAGGGTCAGAATCCAACAGAGTTCCATCTTAATCCGCTAATTACCAGGTAATCCGCTAGTTACCAGGTTTAGTAGGTGTGTTTGAGCTGGGAAATCTGCAAATTCAGGACCGGAAATGGGGAACCCCGCTTTGTCACAGGTGTTTCCTGATAGGAACCTTGCCGTTCCGGTGCCGTGGGCTGTTCTAAGGCATACCTGATGCGCTAACCCGCCCCCTCTCCCCTGCAGTGTTCACTCTCTGCTTCCCCGCCGTATTCCTGTTCGGGCTCCTACCTCAGGTGAACACATTCCTGATGTGTCTGCTGGAGCAGACGGACATGCACGTCTTCGGGGGCACCGGTAAGGCTCGGGGTTTGGGTTTGGGTTCGGCCCCGCCCTCACGGGCCCCTGGAGGAGGGGCTGACCGCTCCGTGTCTATCTGCTCTCCCCCGCAGCCACGACCAGCCCCCTGTCGTCCGTGTACAGCCTGTCCCGCAGCCTGCTGGTGGCTGCACTCCTCTACGGATTCTGCCTGGGCGCCATAAACGTGAGCAGCGGCGATCTGCGACATCTGTCGTCCTTTATTTCTGGGTTCCCTCCTTCCCACTGTTCTCCTATCCTCCTCCTGGTCTTCTACAGGCGCCCTGGGAGGAGCCACACGTGCCGGTGCTGTTCTCCGTCTTCTGCGGCCTGATCGTGGCCCTGTCCTACCACCTGAGCCGGCAGAGCAGTGACCCCACCGTGCTCTGGTCAGTCCGCCTCGCCTCAGCCGGCACGCCACCTCTCTGGCCCACGTTCCGGGCCTGCGCGTCATGCTCCCCCTGCCATTTCTGCAGGTCCCTCATCCGCTCCCGGTTTTTTCCTGAGCTGGATAGCCGGAGTCCGGAGGAGCCCCCCCAGGGGATTAAGGACCCCCTCCCAGAGAAGCTGCGTGCCTCTGTGGTAGGTCCCATGAGCACTGTTCATCTACAGCCATGTCCGTCCCAAATAATATTGTGGGTTAAGCTGTTTTGGTGATGGTTGAACTCTTCTTTGAATTGCCCCCCCCCCCGGCAGAGGGAGACCCTTCATTCTGACCTGGTCATGTGCCCCCTCATGGCCATCATCACATTCGCCATTAGTGCCAGCACAGTCTTCATTGCATTGCAGGTATGTGTGCTCACCAGCAGGGGGCAGCATAGCCACCTTCGCTCAGGACATTAGTCACTGCTGACAGTTATAAAATGTCAGAGATCGGTACATACAGTTCACTTCACCTCAGACTTTATTATAGAATGATATCATTAATAATGATTATATGCCCATTTAAACATCTCTCTCGCCCTGCAGCCCGCCCTCAGCGTCGTCCTCTACTTTGTGGCCGGGGTCGTGGGCTTCCTGACCCATTACCTGCTGCCGCAGCTCCGCAAGCAGCTGCCCTGGTTCTGCCTGGCCCACCCGGTGCTGCGCTCGCGGGAGTACAGCCAGTTCGAGGTCCGGGGTGAGTGACCTCTGTGGTGGCGCCGAGGAGGAGGGCCTGACTGTGTGCTCCGCCCCCCCTGGGGAGGAGGAGGGCCTGACTGTGTGCTCTGCCCCCCCTGGGGAAGAGGAGGGCCTGCCTGTCTGCTCCGCCCCCCCTGGGGAGGAGGCGGGCCTGANGAGGAGGGCCTGACTGTGTGCTCTGCCCCCCCTGGGGAAGAGGAGGGCCTGCCTGTCTGCTCCGCCCCCCCTGGGGAGGAGGCGGGCCTGACTGTCTGCTCCGCCCCCCCTGGGGAGGAGGCGGGCCTGACTGTCTGCTCCGCCCCCCCTGCGGAGGAGGAGGGCCTGACTTTGTGCTCCGCCCCCCATGGAGTCGGTGGGCCTGACCGTGTCGCCCCCTCCCGCAGAGGCTGCCCAGCTGATGTGGTTCGAGAAGCTGTACGCCTGGCTGCAGTGCGCGGAGAAGTTCGCCATCTACCCGGCCGTCGTGCTCAACTTCCTGACCACCGAGGCGCAGCTGGCCAGCTCGCGCACGGACCAGCTCTGCTGCATTTAGTGAGTGTCCGGCCTTCCCCAAGGGGCCCCTTTGTCGCCTTCCGCAATGACGCGCCCCCTGACCCCCCGCCCCCCGCCCCCCTCAGCACCCACGCCCTCTTCATCTCCGTGGCCGGCATGAAGCTGCTGCGCTCCTCCTTCTGCACGCCGTCCCAACAGTACGTCACCCTCTGCTTCACCGCCCTCTTCTTCCACTTCGACTACCCGGCCTTCTCAGAGACCCGCCTGCTCGACTACTACTTCATGTCCATCCTCTTCAGCAAGGTGAGAGCCCCCCCGCGATATCCCCCGCCCCCCCGGCCGAGTCGTCCCCACAGACCCCATGCCTCCCTATGTACCTGTGTCTGTGTGCTCCAGGTTTACATTGCATTGTGGGGATCAAATGCTCCTCAGGAAATGTTACTTGGGACTTTATAAAAATCTGTGACTGCAATCAAAAAACTAAAATTGCCGAAAGACTTATTTTGTTTGGTTACTTATGGTTAAGCTTAGGGCTGGGTAGGGGTTAAGGTCGTCATTGTTGGGCTGAGGATTTTGCCCATAGAAATGAATGGACAATACCAGTCGGGCTGATTAAACTTACTGACTGATCGATAAGCTCGAAGGTAGCTGAAGGGTAACTGTTTGGAGGTAAATCTGGTTAAACCAGGCCAGATTTCCCACCCGGAGAGTTGGAGGGAGGGGGGGTGATGGTGTTCCAGTTCTGATGTTCCGCTTCTGCTTCCTCTCTGACTGGCTTTTAGCTGTGGGACCTCCTGTACAAGCTGCGATTTGTACTCACCTACATCGCGCCTTGGCAGATCACCTGGGGCTCCGCCTTCCACGCCTTCGCCCAGCCCTTCGCCGTGCCTCGTATCCTTACCCTGATTGGCCGCTCTGTCGGTGCCGCTGCCGAATCCGGCCGATCGCCCGTCCTGCCAAACTGTTCTACCTTCCGTTCTTCTTCCTTAACCCCCTGGCAGACTCGGCCATGCTCTTCATCCAGGCCATGTTCTCCGCCTTCTTCTCCACTCCGCTGAATCCCGTGCTGGGCAGTGCCGTCTTTGTCACCTCCTACACCAGGCCCGTCAAGTTCTGGGAACGCGACTACAAGTGAGTGCCAGTCAGCTCGGGGCTCTCGCTCGGTACATGTGAACGTGATCGGTACCCTGAGACCTGGTGTATAGAATACTGTCAGCGTGATGCATGCGTGTGCCGGGATGCTGACCGTGTTTCACTCCACAGCACTAAGCGGGTGGATCATTCAAACACACGCCTGGCCACTCAGCTGGACCGCAATCCAGGTCAGGCTCGTTCTGTCACTGCCTCTCTGTCTCTCTGCCTCCCTCGTTCTGTCTCTGCCTCTCTCTCTGCCTCCCTCTCGACCTGTCTCTGCCTCCCTGTCGTTCTGTCACTGCCTCTCTGTCTCTGCCTCCCTGTCGTTCTGTCACTGCCTCTCTGTCTCTGCCTCCCTGTCGTTCTGTCACTGCCTCTCTGTCTCTGCCTCCCCCTCGTTCTGTCACTGCCTCTGTCTCCCTCTTGTTCTGTCTGCCTGTCGTCCATCTCTTGGAAAGTGGTTTGTCCTGTGTTTTTTTTTTTTTTGTAATAAACTTTTAAACTTCTATCCATGCTTCACAGTCCTTTTTATAATCCGCTTTCACTCTATAGTGCTGTTTTCCCCCTGCCCCTCCCCCCACTTGTCGCTCATCTCTTGGCTATGTCTTCAAGGCGCGGACGACAACAACCTGAACTCCATCTTCTACGAGCACCTGACTCGCTCGCTGCAGCACAGCCTGTGCGGCGACCTGCTCCTCGGCCGCTGGGGGAACTACAGCACGGGGGACTGCTTCATCCTGGCCTCTGACTACCTCAACGCCCTGGTGCACATCATCGAGATCGGCAACGGGCTCGTCACCTTCCAGCTGAGGGGCCTCGAGTTCCGGGGTGAGCAGCCGGGCCCTGTGCCCTGCTTTCCCGCCTGGGGCGCCCCTCTCCTCCTGCCTGGGGCGCCCCTCTCCTCCTGCCTGGGGCGCCCCTCTCCTCCTGCCTGGGGGGCCACTCTCCCCCTGCCTGGGGGGCCCTTCTCTGGGTGTTTCTGAGCACTACTTTTTAAAATGGTCACTTTTGTTTGTATTCTCCTTTCATTCAGTTTTTTGTCTTAAGTACGATTTTATTTGTTTTACATAAGAATTAACCACGTAAACGCGTGGTTCCTGTGATATGTGAAGGACTGGTTCAGACACGTCACTCCCATCCATGCTCTGAGCCAGTTTGTTTGCCAGCATGGGCGCGATGTCCCACCGGTAGTGCCGGAATGGGCCCTGTGCCGTGACGCGGGGCCCCGGATGCTGTTTGGGTAAGGAAGCGTGCCGGTCGGCAGGCTGACGTCTCCCTGCACCTCCCCAGGGACGTACTGCCAGCAGCGGGAGGTGGAGGCCATCACGGAGGGCGTGGAGGAGGACGAGGGCTGCTGCTGCTGCGAGCCGGGCCACCTGCCCCACCTGCTGTCCTTCAACGCGGCCTTCAGCCAGCGCTGGCTGGCCTGGGAGGTGGCAGCCACCAAGTACGTGCTGGAGGGCTACAGCATCAGCGACAACAACGCTGCCTCCATGCTGCAGGTGTTCGACCTGCGCAAGATCCTCATCACCTACTACGTGAAGGTACCGCTCCACTCCGCGTCGGCCGAGCTCGGGGACTCTGCAGGCGCTGTCCTCTGGTCCGTCTGACCTGCCCCCCTCCCTTGGCAGAGCATCATCTACTACGTGAGCCGTTCCGCCAAGCTGGAGGAGTGGCTGGCCAACGAGTGTGTGCTGGAAGCCCTCAGGCCTTGTCAGGCCCCCGGCTACGTGGACAGCGATCCCACCTTCAACCTCAACATCGACGAGGACTACGACCACCGCGCCGCCGGAATCACGCTGACCGCCTTCTGTTCCGTCTACCTGGACTGGATCCAGTACTGCAACAGCCGGCGGGCGGCGGTGAGTGGGGGTGCCGTTCCCAGACGCCGGGGGTCCCACAGGGCATCCCGTGTTCATCCGCCCCTCTGTGTGTGTGGTCTTCCAGCCCGTGGACGGCGAGAAGGAGTCCCCTCTGGTCACCCTCTGCTTCGGACTGTGCATCCTGGGACGTCGGGCACTGGGGACGGCCTCCCACAGCATGTCGGCCAGGTGAGGGATGCCTGTCGCCCTTCCTGCGTGTCCCCGTCCCCGTCGCCCTTCCTGCGTGTCCCCATCCCCGTCGCCCTTCCTGCGTGTCCCCATCCCCGTCGCCCTTCCTGCGTGTCCCCGTCACTGTCGGCATCGCCCTTCCTGCGTGTCCCCGTCCCCGTCGCCCTTCCTGCGTGTCCCCGTCGCCCTTCCTGCGTGTCCCCGTCGGCATCAGCTGGCTGTCAGAACAGCATGTTTTCTCAGGCCAGTCGGTGCAGTATGGGGTTACTGCTGTAAGAGCTAGAAAGTGCTCAGGCTGCTAGTGTTAACACACTAACACATTAGCGTTAATAGTTCATTTTGAAACCCCAATGGATGAAAAAGTAGGAGCAAAGATTTATAGGCTTTCATATGGCTCATTTAAAAATAAAAAAAGGCGAATCTCAAAATTAATCCCATATACAATCGTGTTGTGGTACCATCAAAAAGCGATTTTATAGTCTGTATATTCAGTGCAGAATAAGTTTATATTGAAATTTTTGCTTGTGTTCTCACATTGGGATATGAAAATCAGCAGATGGATAACACATTATGGATTTAACTTTCACAACCCTAAAAAATTCTTGGCTTTTTTTGCAGTTTCGGTTAAGCCCAAGTTCTGGCATTTAGTTAACCGGTTTACTTTGGTTAACTCAGTGGTTCTGTTTGCTTATTGTATCCAGCCATCTGAACGCCATGTTTAACTGTCTCCCGCAGCCTGGAGCCCTTCCTCTACGGCCTGCACGCTCTCTTCAAGGGCGACTTCCGCATCACCTCCCCCAGGGACGAGTGGGTGTTCGCCGACATGGACCTGCTGAACAGGGTCGTGGCGCCGGGCGTCAGGATGTCTCTGAAGCTGCACCAGGTACTCCTGAGCTGCAGGGGGTGCTGTTGTCATACCAGGAGGTTTCCAGACAGTGGCTTTTAATCTGTAATTGGGTTAGGACTCTTTGGCAACCAAACAGAATTACAGAAATTTAAAGCTTCCTGCCTTTGATTCATTCTGGGCTATTTGTAGGTACTTGATCGTCACACTTGAGGACAGTGTTTCCCAGTCTAGTCCTCGGGGACATGCAGACAGTCCATGTCTTTGTTCCCACCAATCTCCCGGTAGCGTAGACCCCCCCCCATAGTTAGAGGAATGGAGAGTAAGTGGCTCCTTTATCGCTCAGGACCACTTCACCTCCCCTGACGAGTACGAGGACCCCGTGGTGCTGTACGACGCCATCACGGCCAACGAGGAGAAGATGTTAATTTCCCACGAGGGCGACCCCGTGTGGCGGGGGGCCATCCTGGCCAACATGCCCTCGCTGTTGGCTCTCAGGCACGTCATGGATGACGGCAGCGACGAGTACAAGATCATCATGCTCAACAAGAGGTTCCTCAGCTTCCGGGTCATCAAGGTACCTCGTCCCACTGGGAGCTTTGGGGGGGCACCTCCAGGGGGGGCGAATGCCTGGGCAGATGGAATACTTATACTGTCACTGCACAGGTGCAATCACATTTACTCTATGATGTTATTCATATAACAGAATGAAAGCAGCATCAGAACCAATACGCTCCAGTCCAAAGCAAAGTGAATAAATAGTATTAATGGACGGTTCAGACAGTATTAATAAGTAATATAAGCAGTATTGAGAGAATGAAGACTGTAAACGGCCCATTGTGCCCAGTGGGGCCAGTATGACAGTATAAAGTAGTACTAACAGTATAAATACCCCATATAATGGTGACGCGAAGACCTTCAGCAGCACAGTGAGTGCCGCAGTCTGACTGGCCTCCGCTGCCCCCTGCAGGTGAACAGGGAGTGCGTGCGCGGCCTGTGGGCGGGGCAGCAGCAGGAGCTGGTTTTCCTGCGCAACCGCAACCCAGAGCGCGGCAGCATCCAGAACGCCAAGCAGGCCCTGCGCAACATGATCAACTCGTCCTGCGACCAGCCCATCGGGTACCCCATCTACGTATCGCCACTGACCACGTCCTACGCGGGCTGCCACTCCCAGCTGCGCGGCGTCTGGGGGGGGCCGATCAGCCCCCACAACATCTACACCTGGTTCATCAGCAGCTGGGACAGGTAAACACCGCCGCCATTCCCTCACGCCATGGGGGGTCGCACTTCCTGTCGAACCCGGGATCCGGAGGTCGGCTGTATTCTGAACCCCCCCTGTCCCCACAGGCTGCAGAAGGGATGCGGGGCCGGATGCAACAGCGGGGGCAACATCGAAGATTCTGACTGCGGCGGGGGCTCCAGCTCCATCGGCAACAACCCTGCCCCACACCCCCCCCAGAGCGTGCCGACACAGACCACGGGGGCGTCCACAATCCCCCATTCGCACCTGACCACCATCCAGCCCCCCCTGGGTGAGCCCCCTAGTGGTAGGACACTGCACTGCGGCACTGTCTCCCATCTCTTGGGCTATGTCCATATTACCACGCTGCAGTGACTCAGGGCTGTGGGGACACAGAAATTCTTATGTGGTACCAGACCGGATATGCATCCAGTTCATGGCCGCGCAGTGTATTATAGGAGCAGTCAGATCAGAACTGCTGTGGTTTTTTTCCTCTATGCATATGCTGTTGTCAGCAGTTTTTTGCTGTTGCTAACACAGATGACTTGTGCAGTGACGTATTAGTGGAGGACAGATGCGTTCGCATGACAGTTAGATACGGGTCACATTGTAATTATGAATGTGAACCATCAAGATCTGAAAATCTGAATTGGACGATGAGGCTTGTAATGTGAATGTACCCTTATCCTCCCTACTGATAGATTTTCTTACCGCCCCACAGGAAGTGACAACCTGCCTGGAACCACCTGGCCGCACCACCCTCAACCACTCCCCCTGGCCCTGCTCAGCCAATCGGAGTCCAGGAGGGAGGTGGGCTTGGCTCCCTCACTGCACCGCACCTCCTCCGTCCAGGGGCTGTTGGGTCAGCCCCTGTCCAGCTCCCAGCTCTCCTTCAGCGGCCCGGTGGGCACGGAGCGCCTCTGTGCAGGCACGACGCAGGACTGCCCCGGGCACTACCCGCAGCGAGGACCCCAGAGGGCCGTACTGAGCCTGGGGCTGAGTGGCGGGGGCCTACCCTACGAGGTCCTGTATGGGAAATTGGGCCTTTCGGGGAGAAAGGGCTTCAATGGGTGTGCAGCCGGAGAGATGGACGGGGTCGGGCCTCAGCCAATAAGAACCCAGGTAAGAAGTGGGAGGGGTCTATGTGGGAGGATCTCCTTAAGGCAAATGTGATTGGTGCAATCTGTGTGTGTCTATGTTCAGACACCAGCTGACTGAATGTCTTTAACGTGTCTGCTGATGTGAAATACTCCCTCCAGCCTGCTCCGTCCGTCCCTTCACCTGAAGTGGGGGCCTCCCCAGAGCCGATGGGGGCGCCCTTGTCAGGCGAGACCACCCCCCGAAGCACAGGGGACGGCTCCACGTCCCACGACGGCTCCACGGAACTGCCTTTACTGGAGCACCTGCGCTGACTCGCGTGCCGAGATACGGAGACTCGCAGCCAAAGCTAACCCGCCCGACTGTGCCCGTCTCGCTGCCGCGGGTCCGCCCGCGTCTGCCGGCTTCCAGCCTGGCCTCCCAAAGTCATTCCAGCGAGCTTCGGATCCGAGCGAGCGAGGAGAATGCGGGGGTACCTCGGTACCCCGAAGATGACCCATGACTTCCCGGTTCTGTTACTCCTCTGTTACCCTGCAATACTGGAAGCACATCAGCCTCACCGGACCTCGCATCCGCTGCTCCCGCCCAATGCCGCTCCCGCCCAGATCCCCAGAGTTGGACCCATCTCTCCAAATCTTCAGCTTACAGCTTAGAGAGGATCCAGTGTTCCTTCAAAACGCAAGTGCAGTCTAAGGTATGGGCGTGTGGTCTGGACCGGCCATTTCCTCTACCGCTGCCCTGTCCAGTATCCAAGCATCCAGCAGAAATGCAAACGTTAGGGAAGTCTGCTGCTCTCCTGCTGCTTTTTTGTGCTCGCTCTTCCCGTCCATGCTGGTTCCTGCCTGCTCTCCATGCACAGGGTACAGAGCACGGCGCTCTAGGTACCTGTGGCGGGTCACCGACGCCACGACGCGGAGCAGGACAGAGGATCGTCACGGCGGGCGGGGGGGGCGGGGTTCTCACGTCCATCCGAGGCTGCCGGACATTTCAGACGCTACGTCTCCACAGACGCGAGGCTGGAATCACACGTTCCACACATTCCAGAAAGACTGGCTGTTAGTCTGTCGTTACTTCTCGAGCCGGGTGCCGCCCTCGTGCGCCTGCCTGTACACACACACCATCGCCAAGACCATTCTGCCAGCTTCTGAGCTTCAGGGATTCCTCTCTTTCTCTCTCTCTCTCGTTTCTCCACCTGTCTTTGCCGCCTCCTGAGTGTCCTGGATGCTCCGCATCCCACCACCCTCGGGGGTTATCGCGTCTCATGCGTTTACAGCCTCGCGCCGCTGGGGGAGCCGGGGACCGGTGACCCCTGAGGGCAGCCGGGCAGGCAGAGACAGAGAGGGCCTGGCGTCACCACAGATATGCAGTAGTCGCGCTGTTGCCGGCACTGGCTGTCACCGCAGCATGTTCGATGGTTTTTATTTCTGTATTAGTTCTTTTTTTAAATAAAAAAATATATATATGGTTGAAAAAGGATGTTTTACCAGAGGACTTGTTTACTTCTAGGTTTTGAGGCTGAGGTGTGGCGGAGGGATCATCCTGTCCTCTGATTGGTTCACCTCTTTTTGTGGGCGGGACCCAGACCATGCTCCTGGTGGCTGTGCAGTGCAATAGCTGGCCCAGAGCTCTGCTTCACGTTTGCTCTGGAGAAGCAGACACCTATCCTACGGCTATTAATGCTACTAGATCTTCTGCAACTACTCATATAACTACTGTTTCAAGTACTTTAACCTCCAGCGTTTTAGCTGGAAGCACATGAGAATAAAGGTGGCGGGGGATCACATATTTATTTGGTGGCTGGTCTGGCTTGGGAGTGCATGCTAAGGCTTGGTTCGCTCGTGTTGTCGACGTGTTCGAGGGAAGAGGACTTGCATATCGGCGACACAGCAGTGTTCTTAGAGTAACTTTACCTTCACATACCACAAGTGTTAACTGTAATTTTCTCGCCCCTCAGTATAACTGGAACCGTGGTATCCGTAAGCCACTGTTATTCTGGTGCTGATTTCTTGATGAGGTGATTACCGGTGTTCTGATCTCAATCTAGCCTCCCTCGACGATAACTCAGTAAACCACGTTTTAGGGTTTCAGTGGGGTCTTGTGGAAGGTGTTTGTTGGTTCTTTGGGTTGTGGCGTGTTGAGGGATGTGTGTGTCTCGTGCAGAAGGAGTTTGAACGCGGTCCTATGCGCTGGAGACTGTATGTGCTGCAGAGAGCAGACCCGCGTGGAGGTGGATTCGTGGCGTGTGAGCCTGGATCACATAAGGTGAAGGGGCCCAGGCTGCGACAGCAGGTTATGGGGTTATAGCACATATGATTAAATCACTCCATTTAGAGAGCTCTTTAAGTAACTCTTAATTTGAAATAGATTTGTCTTGGATTTTGAAATCTTCTTCTGTCATCAGCTCCTCATTTGATTAAGGAAGCATTTAATTTCTGTATCTGGCGTTTTGTCAGCCAGGGCTTGGACTGTATTCACAATAAATCCTCGACCTGAATGGTTCTCAGTGGGTGATGATGGCTGCCTGAGACGGGGGACACGGGTGGGGGCGCTGCCCGTGCACTGACCATGCAAGAGGTGTCCGTCCCTGATTTAACCCTGCCTTCACGGATAATACACTGCAGTTTCCAATTAGTGGGGACTGAGAGCGTAAAACAGTCCTTCCCCTTGAGGCGTGTAGGACTGGACTGTGCGACGTATCCGTTCTCTCGACTTGGTGTTCTCTGGGTCACAGTGTTCGGCCAATATGATTCAGCCCATATTCCTATGACACATGCTTCTTAGTCTTAAACCCCCCCCCCCAAATCAAAACCAGGGCTGTCATTTTCTTATTGGCCGAAAGGAAGCACAAGTTTCTGGGCAGACCTGAATATCACTTAAAGGGATGAAGTCAATGCCATTTATGTACAGCATGTTTGTAAATGTATATAAGTATATAAATATTTTATTAATGATCCAATGGGTATTTTTCAAGGACACTACTGCGTTTTTTGGGGGGGGGGGGGCACCGTGGCTGGAAAGGCCCATCTGAGTTTGACCACAAGGGTGTGCACACTGACCTTACTCCCGCAGTCTGGGATACTGCTTTTGCACAAACCTTGTAAAATAGTACACATCCTTTTTTTTTGTTTTCTTAATTTCGGTCATTTGTTTTATTTAAAGATTGTAATTCAATATAAAGTCATGTACAGTTTTTTATGTGAAATTTCCCCTATTTAAATTAAAGCTTTTTGTGTTATTTGCAAGTTTAATTGTATGTTTCATTCTTGCTGACGTTTTTGCCCTTCCTGCCCGATTCAGACCTCGAGAAAACAAACCAGGAAGCCGTCAGCGGTCAGCATATTTTATTCATCTCATGGATTTGTTCCCTAAAGGTGACGACGGTGTGAACGCAGGCTGTAGACGGGTAGACACACGTAAAACCTCCCTTTCAGTACCACAATAATTCTGCAGCAGAGAATCAGGAGGCGCAGTTTGTCTAGCAGGACGCGTTTCAGTGCTGAAGCAGGCGGGGGGAAAAGCATCTGTGCATAGAGATCATAGAATTCAGCAGCGGTAGTCCAGCCCGTGGCCAGTGAGGATGAAGTGGGCTTCAGTGACAGGTGCCGCTACAGAGCTCCTTGGTGACAGCGCCACCTACAGCTGATCACACGAAGGTGCGGCGGATGAGGCTGGGGGTGTACCTGATCTTGTTATAACACCCATCTTCCTCTCCCTGCCACCAGCTCATCCTCACAGAGTGACGGAGCCACAAGAGCAGGGCTGAGAGAGCGAGTAGCACCAGGGTCATGGTCAGGGAGAGCAGTGCCCCCTGCAGGACGCCGGGAGAAGGTCCTAGAGCTAACATTGGGTAGAGAGATGGGAAAGTATCTGTATCCCGTACTAGTTGTGCACAAGCGAGTTGAACAAAAACGTATTACCTAGTTCTTTGATAATGTTCTTTAAAATTCTAGCTGAAGTGATTGACTGCTTAATGGCAACATTCAGGTAACTGTATTTCTCGTCTTCATTAAAACTCGTTTTAATGAAAACTGATACATATGAAATATGGTACAATCAGTCCTGCTACAATGTGTGATATCACAGCGATTGATATGTTAAAACAGTGTGATATGTTGGTACCCAAGTCCAATACGACGCAGAATCACACTTGGAGAGAAAAGCACCATGCTAACTACATGGTCTTGGCAAGGAAGACTACTTACATGCAAAAACCGCTACCCATGTGAGCAATGTCCAATTCATGAACGAAATGTTTTGAACCGGTTTCTTGCAGTGGGACCGATTTTCAAATCTAAAAGAACCTTTTTTTTTTTTTTTAAACATACACTCACTGCACAGGTCAAATACTTGGTCTAAAAATATTCGATAAACTGGCTGTGCTTTTGTATATTTATTATAATATTTTTACCTACTGTCATCACTTCTAATTTTTATTTCATTGTTATGTGTAACCAGTAAAGTTTGCGAGTCATCTTCCTCTAACCCACAGTAGGCAACTGTACTGTGCCCATAGCAGGTGTTTATGACATAATTGATACTTTATTGATCCCCATGAGGAAATTTCCTTTTTACGCCTCCCTCAACTTGCTCTTTGTAGAGTAAGCTGTCTGTGAAGGGCAGCCACCCGTAGCGGCGCCCAGGGAGCTGGGGGTTAAGGGCCTTGCTCAAGGACCCGCAGAGACTGGGTTTGAACCAGTGACCTTCTGATTACAGCTACACAGGCTTAGCTCACTGAGCCACACGCTGCCTTTACATTATTCCTCACTGGTATCATTTGGTGTAAATTACTAAGTCGCATCTTTTCCATTTTTCTGTATTATAGTGTGTGATTTAATGAACGCGAGGTTTTTCAGGAACTCGGTAATCGTTGTAGCAGGACTGACTGTATATGGCTGTGCAGCCACACTGGATACAGAGACAGTGACACTTACAGCTGTACACATGCAGCCTGATGTAGCAGCACTGAGTCCCCAGGGTGTTGGACACAGTGCAGCGGTACAGTCCTGAATTCTGAGAAGAAACATTCTCGATGGACAGCGTCCCTTTAAGGGTGCCTGCAGTGTACAGATCAGAGGGAGGGTGGATAGGTAGATAGATAGATAGGTAGGTAGATAGGTAGGTAGATAGATAGATAGGTAGACAGTGCCCTGGGCCTTAAAAGAAAGCGATCATTGTCATTGTTCACAAGCCACAAAGAAATGTGTCCTCTGCATTTACCCCATATGAGGCATCATGACATAGTGGGCAGCTATTACTTAGCAGCTGGGGAGCTGTGTGGTACCTTGCAGGTCAGGGATTCAAACCAGTAACCTTTTAATCACAAGCACGTTTCTCTAACCATTAGGCCACTGCTGAAAAGGTTCTTTATTATTGACGGCAGGGTGTCTCTCTGCATGTCTGTCAGGGTGTCTGTCTGTCAGGGTGTCCCTCTGCATGTCTGTTAGGCGTAGGATTCCCCTGATGGCGACAGGGCTGAGGCCACCGAACAGGGCCTGCCCCAGAGTTTTCTGTCCGTATTAATGGACCGTTGGATCGCTTCGGGCTCCA